ACGCACCCACTACACAAGAGAAATCCTAGTATAGAGCAACGCTATATATATAAAAGAGTAAAAAACAGAGCTTTGACCCAGAGCCATACCTGGGTGAAGTTCCTATGAAACTGATATAAATAAACTTAATATCTCATTTAACTCCTCACACATTATTAACTGAACCAATCTTCGTGAAACTTTATATTTGTATGTAGTTAATTTATAAATAATTTAAACATCCTGTAGTTTGGTCTTTAAATTTAATAAATAAGATTATAAAGAGGAAAGATTTGTACCTATTTTTGTATGTTTGTTTGTTTGTAATGAATAGGCTCAAAAAGTACTGGGTCGATTTAAAAAATTCTTTTTCCAATAGAATGCTACATTCTTCCAATTTTAAATAGGCTACATTTCATTTTGAAAAAAAAATTACCTAACCCGTGCGAAGCCGGGACGGGCTGCTAGTATTTAATAAATGACACAATAATAAATGCACTGACATAATAATTTTTAAATGCACAACATTGTCAATAACAACAAGCTAACCTAAACTAACGATGACACTTTTATCATACAGCAGTCTCAATAATAAAAATAAAAATTGCAAGAAATAGAATAGTTAGAAGTAAGGTGAAGGACGAATGATTATACTGTAGTTAGGTACTCATTATACTTACACTACTGCAAGCCAATGCCAAACAAACTAGTACAACAACAGTTGTGGACATTAGCGCAACAAATATTAACGGTGTTTCGTAACGTGCTGTTATCCATGCTACAATCAGACTCATGAAAAAGACCTGAAAACATAATTATCAAAAACAAATAGTTTCAAGACAACCTATGTTATATTTACAGTAACTGGGGATTACGGTTAACTCCATAGGGTACTCTCCACCCTCAATAAGTATGGTATTATCACTTCAGTCAGTTAGGGAATCCAACATCGCTAAAATTTACTGCACATCTCTCAGTGGCAGGCAGGTCTCGCAGTTTCAATGACCTAACTTCGATCCCCAAGCTATTGGCCAAGTATAGGAGTTGTGGACGACAACGTGAGAGACACTTTTATTCAGCTCTGGAAGCTATCTGACTAATAATAATGTTATCCATACAAAAAACTTACCGCCAACATCAAGCATATAAAGTTGCAAGGGGGAATTCTAGTTATAGGAATGCATGCCATTGCATAACTTAAAGCCATTATTCCAACCCTGTAACATATATATTTATTTGTAATCTTACTAACTATTGGCGTTAATCTATACTAATATTATAAAGAGGAAAGATTTGTACCTATTTTTGTATATTTGTAATGAATAGGGTCAAAAAGTACGGGGCCGATTTAAAAAATTCTTTCACCAATAGAATGCTACATTCTTCCAATTTGACATAGGCTACATTTCATTTTGAAAAAAATTAGGGATCTTTAGTAAAATTTGAACAATGTAACCGAAGCTGTAGAAAAATGAGTCTTAAAATGTCTTTCGTCGAATGCGCTGCCGAAACTATTAGCGATAGAACAAAATAATGTAGAACAATATTGAAGAACATCATAATGTCTACAAAAAATTCCGCGGTAGCATATGTCCACTATTGTAGTTATGTCACTACAACAATCCAAATTTCCAAAAATAAATAATTGTCTACCCCGTGCGAAGCCGGGACGGGCTGCTAGTATTATATATAGACCAGTTTCTAGCCGCGAATTCGTACGCGCATTTCCGTTTTCGCCCGTTCTCGTGTAAAATAGATATAACAAAATAACCAATTATTATAGTTACTTCTAATGCCATCTAGTGTTACTTATGTTAGTTAACAAGCATTAGAGTGAACTGACCGAATGAACGGCTGAGTAATGTTCAAATATAAAAAGAATAAAGTTCAGTTGATTGAAAACCAGCATAGCGTTTTATTATCTCGTAGGATTGTCAGGACTTTTTCTATGCTTAGAACCTTCTCATAATAATAACAAATACAACAAAAAAAGAATTAGTGAAATCGGTCGAGCCATTCACGCGTAATGCCGTGACCAAGGGATAAAGGGATTCATATTTATATACATAGATAGGTACTATAAATAAATAAATACTAAATATATAAATATAAATATTGATTACTCCCGCGCGGTCTACTCTCTCTACTCGGCTTCTATTGATTGTAGTATGATGTCTTATAGCCGATAGCCTTCCTCAATAAGTGGACTATCCAACACAAAATAATTGTTTTTGTTTATATTTGATGGGCTGACGTTTTTACAATTTCAGTGAGACATACAAAATTAACTAAAAATCGCCGGTTACTCACGTGAACATACTTTATTTACTCACCTGCATACTAAATAACATACCTATATTGCTAACCGCACATATACCGGACAATATACTTACATTCCAATAATACCAAACAGAAACCCAGACGTCTGAAAAGTTTCCTTTAATTCACTGAAAAAGTTATAAAATATATTAGTTCAAATTGAGTATTTTGGGGGTGTTTCATCATTATCATTATAGTTAGTAAATACTAGTAACTTTGAATGTCATTGATAGCTGGAATTTGTCTTTCACCAGTCACTGGAATTTGTCAGCACCTAGCACATAGAGCATGTTGGGCTTGCCTAAAAATTGATGCACTAGTCTTTAAGTAAATCATAAATGTAACTCTCAGTGTAACAGGCAATTATTGATGAGTCAAATAAATAAAATTAAAAAAATATAAAGCCTCAAGCCGATCACTGCTGAAGATAGGCTCCTGCTATCACTTTCCAATGATAGGTCAATTGAGACCGATCTAGAAAGAAAGATTAAAAAACCGTTTATCGATCTGCATCCTGCAGCTCCCTACAAATTTTATTTTAGCATCGTTTGTTACACTAGCCGGGACGTAGCCTCCATTTTAGAACATCTTTGTTTCATAGACTTACGCCAAATAAATAGTGGCCACGTCACTGCTATGCCACCTTAGTCGTTTTACGGCTATGTCAGTATCTGGACAGTCAGTATGCAGAACGAAATTTATATGAACATGTGCCACGTACCATATAAGTTTATGGGGGCTTATGGTGGTGGAACAGGTCCTTAAAATGATTTCTTAAAGCAAAAGATACACTAGGTGACAAAATAATGTGTGCCAAGACATGTATGCGACATGTCAAGCAAAGCCGGCTGATTTCGCCTGACAAATATGGCGTTAACGCGCGACTTATGTTTGCAGAGACGTCAGACGAAGTCGTGCGACTTCGCGAAACTTTGCCTGACACATCTGACGACATCGCGCGACTTATGTCTATAGCATCGTCCGTGGACGAGCCGTGTCGTGCGATGTTGCCAGACATGTCGACCGAAGTCCGGTAAGGTTGTACTACTCCACCCAACGTCGCTATCGACACGTGTTGCACGACATTTGTCCCCCAGTGTCTCCTTGACTTAATGAAGAATAGTGGAACAGATCCTTAGTCTAATAGATTTATACTTACCTAGCATAAACCATATATACGAAACTGCTTGTGACAATCAGCATGATAAGCACTAAAAAAAACACTAATTGGACGAAACTGTTTCTGTCAGGTGCATAAGTAAATGGTGTTGTACCAGGAGGTAGCGGTTGTGCGTGAGCATGTACTAAAAACAAAAAGACTCAATCAGACACCACACAAAGAATGCTACAACTACGGGAAAATAGGGACCACCGTATTTTTTGCTCACCAAATGGAGGTAGTATGAACTCTCGTGTGAACCTTTCATCTATTCGTCCAATAGGAAATAAGCTAAAGTCACATTATTTTTAACAGCTACAATGATTGCAGAAATAATACTCTTCCTACATTGTCGGCAACTGGGGAGCAAAAACACGGTAGCCTCCGTTACGGCACACCGGCGTGGTTTTAGCCAGTTAGAGTCTGATAATCTATGCTCTAAGCGGTTGGCCAACGGCTTCATTAGGATTTCTCACATTCTGTCATCCGAACCGATACGACCTTCAAGAAAAGAGCGTATTCTTTTTTAATAGGCTGGCAACGCTTCTCTTACTTGTGTAGTGTTGCGGGTCTACATGGGCGGCAGTAATCGTTTACGTACGTACGTACGTACGTACGTTAATACGTACGTACGTACGTACGTTAATACGTACGGTGGTCCGTACGCTCGTTGACATTTTAATAAAATAGAAATATTTGAAATTAAAATGCGAATATTATCCCAGTATAAAATTCCTTTTACTTAATTAAATTTAAAAAAGCGGATAAAACTATGAAATTCGTCGCCATCTTTTAGTGTTGGTGCTGAAGGTACCACCACGACTTCAGGTGACTCGTTATAAAATCCAAAACGAAAATTGTTATTAAAAGTACTGACTTTGAAATTAGGATCCATATATGAATTCCTATAAACTCACTTCATACGGAACACATAAAGGGCGCCACATTAGTTATGATACGAAGCTATTTCAGCAATTTTAAACAACTGGATAGTTCCCAATTTTATATTATACTTACTATTAGCTTGCACCCAATATTCTCGCATCCAGCTCATTTGTTTGGCTTCACTACGACCTACGTTCTTATTAACATTATGTTTATCATGCTTCGGTATATGACTGTAATTTAATTCCGTTAGATCCATTATATCTAAAATTTCACTATCTCTTTCTATATTATTTACTTTAGTATTATCTACAGTATCGACAGTTGGTACAATTTCTTTTTCAACTTCATCAAGTTTAAGTATCTCATGAATCTTAACAACGGTTGTATTTTTTTTCTTTGGTATTTTAGTTTCAGTGGTTTTAATTTCATTTTGTACTTCAAAACGTGCCTCGTCCAGTGTAGATGTCATTTATGTTTTATTTAGATTTGTGATTCGTTAAACATTAAAAACAATAAATAATTATTGTGTATCAAAAGTGTATCATGAAAACTGACATTCATTGTCATCTCGGCGTCAAATAAAATCAATGACTAGACAGAAGATAATTCATTGAGAAGATTGTATTCAAAACAAAAATAGGTTCACAAAAAGAATTTAGTTTTGGCAAAATCCTATTATTTGTACAAGTTTGAGGAATATATCTAATATAGATGTGTATATTAGGAATGCTGCTATAGCGTAATCGTTTTCGCTCAATTCTAATGTTTTTCCTCCCAGTATCATTTGGAGTTCCATTATTAGCATCTGTAAAGAGAAAAATATTTTTAGGTCACTCATACTAAGTTTACAGAAGTTTTTTGACTTTTGCGGCCGAAATAAATAACCAATCTCAATTCTTAATCTGTGAAGTAACATCGATTTTCGAAGTCCTCAAAAACCAAGGTTTTGGGTGTTTGATCGACTACTATCGTATGTTAAAATTATATTAATTTCCAGTAAACTTCAAAAAGATCATAATTTCCCCTTTATTGCGAGGGGAAAATTACCCAATGTCTCCCACTATGGGTGAGGCGAAACTATTACATTCTTACTGACTAAAAACCACCCTGTTCCTACTCCTGGTTTAAGCCGGAGCCCTGGCAACCGGTAACCTAAAATGTTATCCGCAGCTCACTCGTGACCTATTACAACACAGGATCACCGTAGTGACATTTACTCAGGGTCAACCAGACATCTTCATCATCTCCTCATCTCATTTAAGCAAAGGATATTCTATTATGAAATGCTGACTAATGGACCCTCGCTCGGCCTTGAAACGTACATATTGTTAGGTCTTACTACTAAAATTTACCTAAACTAATTATACACTCAAAATATTGAGTGTAATATCCTCATAGCTGGAGTAATGTGGTTGATACCAAGGTCCATTGTATAAATAGCGGTACATGTTATATGCACGCTTTCGTTAACTGAGGATTGCATGACGAATGCTTTAGTACAAATGATCAAAATTGTGTCCACGGAGCGGTAACCGTGCGTCACTCACTTTCAAACAAATCTGTCCTATCGATCTTTGTAAGTCGCATGCATTCGTCACAAGACGCGTCAGGCACACTAGGCCGAAGCAAGGTAAACTAGAAAAGGACTCAATAAGAAGCAGCCACGGAGTACCCAAGAAAGACCATTAGTTGAAAGTTGATTATAATTTTCACCAGCTCATAGCTACACCAAATGAGTTAAACTTTATTATAACCAACATTAATGAAAATTGTTATAATGAAACAGAATCAATTAATTTGAATCGTAATTAAATTTAATCAAACTATAACTTTGTATCATTTAAAAACTTAAACATTTCGTCTGAGGTTAAACTAAACTAAGTTATGAAAGACGCTAAAGTCAAATTGTACTAAAAGTTGTTTAACCAATTTTGGTAAGGTTATGTCTTTGGTACGTGCAAAATACCTCAAATGTTCTAAGTTTATTTTTGGATATAAATAGATATTTCTATTATTTTATAAGACTTGCCAATAAGCACAAAGGGTATATAAATGAGCAATAAAAAAAAATACTTAATTGATTACTATCGTCCTCGATTCCTCTTTTATCGTCTAATCGAAAAAATAATGGTTGAAAAAAACATCAAAGATCTTATTAGAAAAATATTTATTGACCTTTAATTTGAAAAATAAAATACATTTTCTTGAAAATTTTGTTTCGTCGCGGTTCTTAACGGCTTCAATCATCATGATCGCTATCGGCATGATAATTTTGAACAATTTCGTACAAACCAACTCGGTTGCGGTTTTTGTAATCCACCTGAATAATGAGACGATAAAAAATATTCATTTTAGTATATGGGTTAACAATTATTAGTAACCCATCAACGTGCCAATCTATGTACATCTAAAAAATGTCTTGCTAGTTACATTATAATTATATCTCAAGAACGGCTTAATCTGTTTTTAATTTGGCTGAAAATTTGTAAGAAGACAGTTTAGAACCAGGAGATGGACAAAGGATAGTTTTTAAGGAAGTCCCGGAAATCTTACAAGAACGGGAGAAAACGGGACTACGCTAACGATAAATGAGTCCAATATATGCTAACTAATTATATATTTAGTTTCGAAAACAAAGAAGGGAAATCGAAACAAACCCTCTCACAGTTTCTTAAAGTTCAGTTAAAATAAAGTGGGAGAACTGTGTATCAAGAGTATGAAGAAGAATTACTATAAGACGTACACACCGTTACACACCAAGCTATTCAAAACCAGTATAAACTGACCATCGAATACGCGGAAAGATCATACAAAACGAGACCATGAGAAATCGGTTTTGTTATCTCGACCTGTAACTGTGTGTACAAATAAATTACGAACTCACCACTATTTGTATCAAAGTTCCTACAGCAAGTAAAACTATAATCACCGGCTTCATCAATGTTCCCGTTGCCACAAATGCTATCGAAACAATACAGACGACGATAGTAAAGCCAAGAGATATACCAATAATGTATAACACGTAGCTCGTGAAATCAAACTGAAATGTAAGAAGACATTGGTCAGAAAATATTAGTAAGATCACATAAAACGCATTGCGCATTAATCATTCAGATCGGTCAACATACTATCGTATTTTTCAGTTTTCGAAAAATTCTCAGCAATACCAAGGAGTCTAGATTTGCGTAACACTGTAAACTTATGAACCTATATTGTGATATGACTTCATAAGTTCATTGTGATATGGGTTCAACAGCCTATAAGTGGCCACTGCTGACCAAAGGCCTATTTTCGCACAGAACAGTTTTAAGCATAAATCACCACGTTTGCTCAATGGGGGTGGCGATTTCAAACTTATAATCAGAAATTATAAGCCCAGGCTTCCTCCCGTCATTTTCCTACACCGTCTGTCAGTGGAGTTTAAATAAATAATCTTAGAAAGTACATATAAACTCGTAAAAGGTCGCCTTACTTGCCGTTGGTAGGTTTTGTACCGGGCGTCTTAAACCCTCTGGGCAACTACGGCATTTGTAACTGATGAACTTAGCCCTCTACTAAATGACGATAATGATGATCAATAGTGGCAAAATAAGACAATATTGATAAATTAAACGTTTTTAACCAAAAGTCGTAGAGTACTGACTAATGACTGCCTCGTTGGCCGAGTGGTCGTAAGTACGACTGCCAGCAAAGGAGTCTCGGGTTCGATTCACGGGTCGGGCAAAGTATTATTGGGTTTTTAAATACTCTCAGTAGTAGCACGGAGTCTGGAATTGTGCCCGGTAGGTATAATTGGCAATAGGCTCATCCCCTATTACATGGGATTCATAACATAAGTAAATAGTGAAAATTGGGTGTTACATTGTACAGTGGTATTATATGCGGATATAAAAGGCGTGATGTTATGTTATGTGTTATATTCGTAGAATAATAATTATGTATTTCCCAAAAAACAACTTACATTAGAATACGCAAGAACAACACATATAAACGTCACTGCCGATGTAGCAATAAATGCATATAGTATGACATCGGTTTTGTAGTGAGATGTTACTTTTGCAGCAATTATGCTCATCGCTATGGTCTGAAATACAAAACACAGGCTTAAAATACCAAAGGAACGTTTCAAAATGTTTTTATGATAGCTGGTATTACAATGAAAGTGCTTGGAATAAAAAAAGTACCTTTGAAAAATTAATTAGGCAAACTAAGACAGAGAGAAAGAGACCGAGCATAATATTATAAAATTGGAATGTAATGACAAATATATTCTGATCCATTATTTCTGTACGTGGATATCGCATAAACGACTTAGGAGTAAAATAAAAGAAATAACTAAATATAGCAATTAATGAACTGGACTGCAATGTAGATGATATCAAGCAAGAACGATTGATTTAAAGTAATCTAAAGGCATACTAACTGTAAACATAAGACAAATAATGTTGCACGGTGGACGCCTGGCGCACGGAGTACATATCATAGTACAATTAACTGTAATTAGGAGCATTCTGCAAATCGATATAATCATGCAACATTATACATTCTCAAAATATTGTAATTGCGAAATTTTATTTGTTTATTTGTTACTACTTCACGACAAAGCGGCTGAAGGGATCGTGATAAAATTTGAAATAAGGGCAGATTATGGTTTCGAATAATACATAGGCCAGTTTTTATCCCACGTGAACGTGTGCAAAGCCGCTGGCAGAAGCTAGTTACTCATAAAAGCCCTTTTAACCTTTTTTTAAGGGGGGAATATCATCGAATTGCTGCTTCCGCCTGGGTGAGGCGGGAGGGAGTGTCAGACTCATACTGACTAAAAACCACCCCGTTCCTACTCCTGCCCTTCGAGCCGGAGCCCCGGCAACCCGTTAAGTCCTCCGCAGCTCTGTATCGGTATCAGCCCTATTGGGTCCCATCGGTAGTGGTCTGATGGCTCTTTGAGGCGCGCGCGGAACTCAACGTGCCGTACGCTCGGGTAATATTAATTTTGAATCTTTAAAACACTGAACGGAATTTATGAAATAATGCAGCGATAACGCGACGCCAGCGGCAGCGCGACATCTTCGTGGCGCATACGTTTATTATACGCCTGTCTTGTTGGACAAATGTTAGTATGAAGGTGTTCTAAGGTGTACTTACGCAGCTAGAAACATTAAAAGCCATCCGGAGGTCCGAAAAAAATCTTTCACTTCAGGCCTGCAACAATTAGATAGCATCGATATCCATTAATGTGTTAATGTCTTATGGTAATTAATACATACATATCAAGGACTTTCTTTGTGTCACTTCATCAGTAACAGTGTTTTCTTTACATTTAATTTATTTTTCTATAGTACTATCGCGCGGTTGCATCTGCTCTGCTCGGCTCGTATAGATCGTATCGTGATATTTAATAGCCTATCGCCGTCCTCAATAAATTGACGATCCAACATAAAGAGAATTTTTGAAATCGGACTAGTAGTTCTTGAGGTCAGCGCGTTCAAACAAACAAACTCTTCATCTTTAGTAATAAGATTAGATTACCAACCGTTCTTAAATCCACATAGACTTTAGAAAATAGGTATAGAATAGAATAATAATCGTTGAGACAGTATATCCAAGTACAAATTAAAGAAAAAAAAAGTGTACAAAGGCGGCCTTATCGTTAAAAGCGATGTCGTGGAGAACCTAACGGGTAACCGGAGCTCCAGCTCGACGTGCTGGAGAAGGAACGGGGTGGTTTTTAGTCAGTAAGAGTCTGACACTCCCTCCCGCCTCACCCAGGCGGGAGCAGTCACTCGATGATTTTCCCCCAAAAAAATCGCTAAAAGCGATATCTTTTATAGTATAAAGTTAAATTAAACCTAAAAAGCAAATACTTACACTGTAAGAACGACAACCAAAACAGCAGAAGTAGAAAGCAACATCACAAGTACTATGAACATGACGAGCTGCACGAAGGAGTTTCTTGCAAGAGGATCATACAAAAGTGGTCCTCCCCCATCATAGCCGTATGCTCCCTGATAGCCACCATCTCCTCCATAGCCAGGATACGGTGGAGGATGACCTGGGTAAGGCCCTGAAAACATGAGCTATTATAAAGCTTATTTTCCTTCCCTCGAGGTACATACGTGACACCTAAGCCAAATTAATATAATTATGCTGAATGAACTTATGCTTATAACTACAGACTCGATAATATTTAAAAAGCTTGACGTAAGCTTTGACATTACTATTTGTGAAAATCAATGTCAATTTCATTGTTTATATTTATTCTCTCATGTAATACTGCTGACATTAGCTCACCGTACTGTACTGAATATACTGCACCCAATTCTACGTTTACCTACTTTATTATTATCGGATCTAATAGGTGTCCAAAAAAATAAAGCAGACAAACGTATTGAAAAAAATGAAATACTAACCGTACTGAGTCCATACCGTGTGCTGTGGTTGAGGAGGGGGAGCTTCCTGACGCCACAACTGCCTTGATAGCCTCGGTTGATTTTGATCAGGTGGTCTCGCCCCGAAAACATAATTATACATGCCCATCACTGTATATTTTCTATTCGCAGGTCTTTGGTTTATTATGTTGAGTTTAAATACGGTTACATCGTTAAATTTTCCAGATTCTCCGTCTTCATTTTTTTCTGTAGGAGGCTCTATACTATTTTCTATATCGATACAAACTATAGTCAGAATTTTAATTAGATTCCAGATTTGACAATAGCTACTGTCATTTTAAGAAATAATGATACCACATATAATAGTGTAGTGATGAACACAAAAATCGATAAACAATCAGTGTGTATGTTTTATAATAGATGTTACAGAAAGTGACAGAATAGCGATAGCGATGACGGCGACAATTTATAAAATAACTTATTACCATAATACATCTATCTGTTTTATTTGTAAAGTTCCTTCATGATTACATTTTTTTATTTATTTCACACACAATTATAAAAGAAAAGTCTCAGATCGTTAATTAATCGTCAAAACTAAATTATCGGTTCAGAAATATTTAAGTTCCTGATATACTTAGTTTACGGGAGTAAAATTATAAACGAGAAGAATCGATCCAGAAATATTGCATTTCCATATCGAATAATTTCGCAACGTCACTATTTAGTACTTGTCATAACGTTGCAACATTGAAATTGTCAAATCTGGAATCGAATTAAAATTCCGAGTATAGATCTTTGCTTTCTGCTATGGTAATCGGTCTCGGCTTAACTGCTTCTTCTTGTTTGACCAAATCCATATTAGCGGTAGTACCCAGGTCCGTTTGTGCATCGTAATTACTGCTTTCATCCACATCTTGAGTATTTGTGCTTTTATCCAGGTGTAAAACAGTCATAAAGCAATAAAATAACAAAAATAAAAATGTTCGTACAAAATCGTACCAAAATTGTCAAAATACATTTTCTGAAATAACGTGACATTTTCCTTTTTTGATGTCCACAAACAATTGTTCGTTACAATGACGAGATTTTTATTAAAGGAGTACTTATTTGATTAAAAAGATATCCATTCACGAGAATCAATTTCGTAATAGCATAGAATGATTGTTACAAGTATTTTTTATCTATAGCAACTAAATTTAGAGGAATCCATCAGCAAACAACAGAAAATGGGCACAAAAGTAACTTGCTACTTTCTACATAATTGGATTCATGTCTATTACCCCGACCATTAGTAGGGCACGCCAATCCATTTACTGGGCCCACTCAACTAACAGTTCTTTTGTCACTGTCCCAAGTGTGGCGGTTTCATTTTTCATATCTTTTCACATTGGCCCATCATTGTTCCCAGCCGGAGTGGTTCGACGTTGGAAAGTAATTTATTAACCACTCTTTGTACAATTCCCTGATATTATTTGAAGGGACTTTTTTTAGTTTTTACAAAAAATTTCATTAATTACAACTTCAAAAACAACCGCGCCATGACCGAGGAACCAAAGGGATTATTCTAGAACCAATCAAGGCAATTTCAGAATGAAAGCCAATCGAAGTGGTGCTACTACATTCTAGGCTAACTACATTCTAATACATTTCTGATTGGATAAAAAATCTTCTATTATTATATGTCCCAATCTTATATTAAATCTCCCCAATTCCTGAATCCCCAACGATCATCAAACTCCTAATCCCCAAAAGGCCGGTAAAGCAAATGCAACGCCTCTGGTATTCCAGGTGTCCATGGGCGACGCCGATTGCTTACCATCAGGTGATTCGTCTGCTCGTTTACCGGCTTAGGCCATAAAAAAATGTATCGTCTCAAATTAGTTTCATGTCCAGTTTTAACGGTTATCGATAAATCAGAACAAAAATCATACATTTATTTTGCGTACTCAAAATGAAAAAATATTGCAGTGACTTCAAACTAATGTCTATAAACATATCTATGCACTACACGTACCTGATGTCTTGCAAGAAGATTATTTCTTTGAAAAGTTTTGGTCCCTAGGGGAATTGGGAGAATATGTGCGCAATTCAAGAGTTATATTTTTATACAGATATCTGTAGATATAGACTATACTTTGTTAGGGCTGGGGTCGAGAAAATTGGAGTTTCATACTACTTTGACCCATATTCTTAAGTTTAGTAGGATTGTGGAAAAAAATTGTCATCACATGAATACTTCGCAATATTTTCTAAAAGTTTTAAATATTTTCTATAGGTTGTATCACTAAAGGATAATCAAATTAGATCTAATATCAAAATACAAAGAAGAAAGCATGTTTCATTTGCAAGATTATTCATCCAAGCTTGCGAATATTATCATAAAACGTACAGCACATAACCATAACTATCATACAATTATGGTTGAATGCGATAACTAATCATAGCGGACATTATTGATTTAATGAGCAATCGCGGCAGGCGATACAAACCGTCTAGGTGATCTAGCTAGAGATAGGTATGTCAAGTAGTGTACGGACAGACTACCGATTACGATGATATCTCCTATATGGTATATAGGAGATAACATAACATCACGCCTTTTGTCCCCGAAGGGATAGGCAGAGGTGCAAATTACGGCACTTAATCTACACTAATATTATAAAGCTGAAGAGTTTGCCTGTTTGTTTAAACGCGCTAATCACCAAAACTACTGGACCGATTTGAAAAATTCTTTCTGTGTTGGATTGGATTGATAGGCACCGAGCAGAGCGAGTGAAACCGCGCGAAAGTACCTAGTGCCACTATATTATGTAACACAACATTTAATATAGAAGATAACACAGAAATAATATCGACGACTAAACATTTGGTACCAAAACGAGAAAACAACCAACAAACAGCAAGAAGTCATTCTTAAGACTTCTAGTTAATGATCACCCGTCTAGAGAGAGAATAGAACACTCACTGTCAGGGTGATGAAATCCCTAATAAGGCCACAAACCTAGAAAACCCAATTACATTGGAATAAATAGGTAATTGGAATAATAAGGAATTGTAAATAGTATTAGAAAAGGAATTGGAAGGGACGGTTGTTAGCAGTATCTTCAGCTATCGTTAAGAACAATTACTGCTATTCAAACAAACTGTTTTTGGTCTAACACTTAATGTTGAAGGAAAACAATTATTTTAGATGGCATGACATTTGACATCATTGGGTTGGTTGATATGAATATTGTAACGTGAATTGTATTTTATCATAATTGTTACAGTCCAAAGACCAAAGCGATAAACAGAGTAAAAAATATTCAAATTAAGGCTCAATTTTTACTGTTATATCATTGTTTCCATAATAATAGGGATGATGACAAGGTATGGAAATTAAAAATCTAATTAGTAAGTCAGATAGATGATGAAAAAATATTAAACACGTATTTTCTTATTTTTTTTGTATAATAAAATGATACTTAGATATATCGAATCAAAGTTTAGGAATGGGTGCTAAAACGTCATTTCTACGTATAAAATGTATGTACATAGAAGTGACGTCACGCGATATTTCAAATCAATATATCGTCAAAAGTATTCGTTTCCGTAAAAAAATAAAAAATACGTGTCTAATGTTTTTAAATAATCTGCCAGACGGACATTAAAATAAAATTAGACATCTACCCTATTATGATACAGGCCATTTACTGACGACAATTTCAAACCCTGTATTATTACTGTTTTTTTTAAACCTAGTAAATCCCAATTCCTACACTAACTGACCCAGGTAAACAATCCAAGACTCCTTCTCCTTCCTCGACAGCGGCAATTGCAACATATCATCGAGCTAGTTAGAACCTAGTTAGAAAACAAGGACGGTGAAAAATACTGGCATGATGACTATGAATTGATTGAAGCACCAAAATATCGGTGGGTTATTTATGTGTGCGTATGTAATAGGTTACCATTACCACGTTATCAGACTAAAGAAAATGACAGGTGTCCTCCGTGTCAATGTTTGTATGATCTAACCGCGGAGAACCTAACGGGTTACCGGGGCTCCGGCAGAAATAGGAGGGCAAGAGTAGGATCGGGGTGGTTTTTAGTCAGTAATAGTCTGACACTCCCTTCCGCCTCACCCAGGCGGGAGAAGACATTCGATGATTTTCCTCCCTCAAAAAAAGGCATGTATAATAAGTAACCAGGTGCCACACAGTCGTTGTTTCGAGAGATGGTGTCCACCTTTTTTTCGACGTCGTGTAATAAAAAGATTGCAAAGAAACAGAAACATTCACAATATAATAAGAACAATAAAAACTGTAGTAGCTGTTTGTTTCACAAGTTTATTTTTAAAACAGAATATTTTATCACTTCGTTTCACTCTAAGTGAAGGAGCGGGTTTTAAGTGGTTTTCTAAATAAGTATAAATGTGACATTGAAATAAAATGTTTGCGGTAACTGGTAGACCGCTAGTAACTCTATATTAAGACTTGAATATACTTGGCGGACAAAAACAAAAAGAAATTGTACTTATTATATTGACGTGTTAATATTAATATACGTGTTGTATTGTCTCTCGCCATTGTAATACTACGTCATCATAATCAGTCTACTGGTGGAAAAACGCCTCCCCCTTAGTCTTCATCGACCGACAGCTCGCCGCCTGCATACATTGGCACCCCCCGAATCCAATATTACGTACTAAATAAATTGATTCAAAAGCGTTAGCGTAACATTTTAACACATTATAATTATAATTTATGTTAGAGATAGACAATAATAATGCTATTTATTTGTCATTATTAAGTTTAATACAAGGTTTGTTATTTTTTGTTATCTCTGTAATAGTTTGAATTTATTTATCTATATAAATAAAAATGAATTTCTGTTCGTTAGTCTCGCTAAAACTCGATAACGGCTGAACTGATTTGGCTAATTTTGGTCTTGATAGGTTCATGGAAGTCTAGGGAAGGTTTAAAAGATGAGAAAAACCTTTTAGGCGGTACGAAGTTTACCGGGTCAGCTAGTTAGTTTATATAAGTTTAATATGGTGTAAGGCGTCGCTAGATTTTATAATATCTTGTTATAGCATTGGGTCCTAATCCTGTAATGTTAACTTGTGTGTGTAATAATAAATACATAAATAAATTAGCATTTAAATGATAAGGAACTAAATAATATCTAACTTTCAAGCATGTATCAACCTTAACCAAGCAGCAGCTCCTTTCGCCGAGTTTGTGGGTATCCATGGGCGACGCTGATCAGGTAGTCCACCTACTCATCTGCCCCAATCACATAAAAAACTAAACCAGAAAGGTAACTAAACAAAACTCGCTATGCATGTACACCGCACTTTATCTCAACGGCGGCGGCGAGACACCGCAAATTAGCAATGATATTCTTTAAAAAGTTTTTTTATACAAAACTTTTCTTATTCCAAGTTCACTGCTAAAATTTTAACGATGCAAATAAATTGTTCAATTAGGGTTGTTACTGTGGAGTTGTTACTTGTATATTCATCTTAATTTTTATTTTTGGAACATAAATATTGACAGGGATTGACACTCCACTTCTGAACTTTTTGGGTCTGCTCTACACAAGAGGTACCTTCTGCTCACATATGTTTGCAGAGAGCGACGCAGTTGGTAAGGTTCCTGCATTAGACGGCTGACAACGGGCCTCTGTCAAATATCTTTTTTGGAATAAGCTCGCAACAACCTCCCAAAACCGCTGCAACTCCTATAAGCCATCATGATCTCCAGTAGGTACAACCAGAACATCGGTGCGTCTCAGGGACACGAATAACTGTCTTGTATCCCGCAACGAAAGAAATCAAAAGACATTAATAGAGGAGAAGAAAAAATATCAAAAGGACAAAAACCTTTGTCAACTCTAAGGATACTCATGAGACAAATAGAAGTATTAGCAGTGATCTGCTAGCCTGGGACACCAATATCCCCTACCTACAATCAAACGGCTTCTCTCATCGCATAATTCAGTTCTCCATATTAATAAT